CAAACTGTTCTTGTGACAGAAAGATGCTCCGAGAGCCTGTGACTTTTTTGAGGAACAGAATCCTGAAGGTAACAGAACAGTTCATCTCTGCAGTTACAAAATACTCAAAGCTGTCAATATTCTCTACCAGTCTGATCAGGGTTTTTACACCAGACGCACTTATGTAAATATAACAGCTCCTGAAACACAAAACATAATTAGAGAGTAGGGGGAAAAAGCTGACACAAATAGCAGAAATAAATTTAGCTTCCCATGACATTCTAGATCTTCAGTTATCAGGGCGGAAGCAAAAGCAATAAGGAAAGACAGATGCCCGCTTCCAGCCATCCGCACAGCTTGAGCTCCGGGAGTACTGCTTCCAGGCCATGTCCTAGAAAGGATCCGGAGTTCTCATCCCACTCTGGTAGTCACCCCAGTGGAACCCAGGATCTCTCTTTGTCGACCACCACATTCCCTTTCTCACCTCTCCATGATTCTGCTTCCTAAGAGAATCTTGAACTAATTTCCCAACCCAATCCTGTGACCCCATTGCCAGCTTCCCCACAACCACCGCAACAGCCTTCTGGGCCTACTCCCTCCCATCACCTATCCTGTCTTCCTGAAGCCCAGACCTTACTGTATCAGAGACCTACTGAAGAACCTCTGGAAAACGGACTACTACGCAGCCACTGAACAAGAGCCAAAGTCACTGCTGATGGAGAATAAATGGGGACAACCCCTTGACAAATAAGTTAATAAAATCTATCTGAACGAAAAGTGCACATAGCTTTGACTCAGCACATCAATTTCAAGAAATTTATCCTACACATATATAGACAAGTATGAAATAACAAAAGCATCAAGACACTCATCTCAGCATGGTCTGTAATAGAGTGAAAGACTAGAACAACCTAACTGACCAGAGGAGGTCTCTAAAAAAAAAAAAAAAAAAACATCAGTGGTTCTCACACTTGAGCAAGCACCACGTGGAGGGCTTGGAAAACGTGCACTTGTGGGCCTACCTTGAATTGGATTCAGGATTTGCCCATCTAACAAGTCCCCAGGTAATGTCGGTGCTGTTGGTTTGGACTACACTTGAGAACCAGTGTTCTCAACCAACCGTGGGGTACAGGTGGGATACCCCGCAGCTGTTAAAGAACACAACCACATCTGCACTGTCGTGACTTTGATCTCCAACATATATTTAGTGAAAAAGGCGAGGTGCTGGGCCAGGCCCGTAGCACAGCGGTTTGTGTGTGCGCCTCACAATGGGGAAATCACACGCTTGTGTGTAAGGGCACGGACTACGAAACGGACGATAGGGCTGCCTCTGGGGCAGGTGCGGGGAGACTTTCCCAGGCATCCTTAGCATCACCTGTCTCCCTGCGGTGAAAGGATGAGGCAGATCTACACGTACTGACGTGGGAAAATGATCAAGCTGTTGTTAAAGGAAAATCAAGTTGCAGAGCAACATGCATTATACAATTCCATTTTTATAAAAAGAGATGTACATATGTGTGCACACACAGGCATGTGTGTAATGTTTGTGTGTCCACAGAAACAGCTCTGGATGGTTCCGTGCCAAGCAGTAACTGGGTTACTTCCATGGACGGGTGCTGACGAGCCTTTTCCTTTATAGTTCTGCTCTATTTTTTCTTTCTTCTCTTTTACAAGTGTGTAGTATTTCTGTAACTATGAAGATCGACTGCTGTGCTGCTGATCAGGGTTTTGTTCCTCAGAAAGGCCACAGGCTCCCAGAGCATCTTGTGGCCCTCACAAGCCCCTCTCTGGGTTCATGTCACTTTACTCCTGTCTCTTCGAACACACCTCGTGGTCCCATTCACTTCCTCTTCTCTTCTGCTGAATCCTCGCCTGCCCATTTGAAGGTAACTGCCACCTCCTCCAGAGAGCACACCAGAATTCAAACTGGTTATTTGGTCACTTGGCTTCTCTCCCTGGTGACTGAGCTCTGTGAGCTCTGTGAGGGGAAGGTGTGGCCTTCTTTGTTCTGGCACAGGGCAGGTGCCCAGTCCTGTTGGCTCAGGGGCTCCTCTGTGTTACAGGCCCAAGGCTTCTAAACCTGCCCAATAAGTGGCCACTACATGGGCCAGATCCTCTCCCCCTGGGATATGGGTCTCTGACAAGGATGAGCACTGCGCTGAGGTGGTTCCTCCTAAGGTTACCTCTTCCCAACACACTCCTGGGGCTCCATCTTCTCCCCATGAATTCACAATTGGCCCTGCCTGTTATAAACACTTCGGCGCCAGGGAGAATTCTGCCCTCACATGCCCTTTCTCAACTGGCTTTGAGGTCCACCTCTGGTGGGAAATCAAAACTCTGGACCCCACACTAACTTTTCACTTCCCCTGCCAAAAGACCAGGGAAATGACTTGGAGTAGAAAAAGGAATCATTTGGACTGCCCTTTTCTTAGGCAAAATGCCACCTGAGTGTGTGTTTTTGTTTTTCTTTTAGTTTGTAATAGAGGCATGCAATCCCCAGACCCAGAGAGAAAGTGAGAAATCACTCCCCGCGGGGATAGCCACAACACAGTCCCTTCTCCATTCTCCTCTCCAGATTTTGAGCTTGCACACACGTGCTCCCAGTGTGTCTTTCAAGCCACTGGGTCCAGGACTCAAACTGTGTAGTCAGCCATGTGGGATCCAGCCTCCCCAACCACCATGTCACTGGCTGGCTCCTACTTCTGAGAGTTTTCAGAGGGACCCATATCAAGGAAACCCCAGGTACACCTCGTTGTCCCCTACTCACAGACTGACTTACAGAAGTCATCTCTTTGACTCTGTTTCTTTTTCTGTAGAACAGACATAATAAAATGGGCTCTGTGTGCCACTCTCAGGGGCTGGGAGGATCAAAAGTGGGATCGGGGTAGCTCTGTAAGCTTTAAAGCATCCTGGCTATTGGTGGGGGGAGGTTGTTAACAGTCAGGCCCTGTTTGTTAATTCCGTTAAATAGTCTTCAAAATAGTCTTCAAAACACCTGGGAGGCTGGAGTGCTGGGGAAAGTACTGAATATACACGCTCCCCTATCTCCACCTGCCTCCAGCCACACCACACCATCCGCTGTCTCCTGAACTGACTCATACCTTCTTGCCGCAGAACCTCTCTGCTAAATTGTTTCCTCTATCTCGAATGCCTCAATCTGCTTGAAATTCTACATCGAGGCTCAAGCCTACTCCCAGCACAAAGCCGCCCAGCCCTGCCCAGGTGTGCTCAACCTCTCATCCCCACAGCCCCGTGCCTATTACAATCACGGATCCAGTCAGTGTCCTGCATCCAGACTCCTGAATTCTTGGGTGACAGGGCTCTGACCTACTCATCTTTGCAGCATTCTGACACCCCACACTCTACCACAGTGGAGGTCCAGGAATAACTGTTGCTGGAAAGAGTTTTGTGAAGAGATCAGTGACCCATGTGCTGAAGGTGACAAGACTTACTCAGGTTAAGGTGCCCACCGTAGGCCAGCCTGCCCTTTACCTCCTTCATGCTGGTCTATTTCAGAACTTCTCTCCATGTGGTCTGCCTGGCAGGCACGGCAGAGAGGCTAAAGGCCGTCTGAACGCTACTTAGAAGAGGCACGACAGGAAAATGGGGTCACACCCGAGTCTCTCAGCCTAAGCCCTGCCTGACTTCCCTCCTTGGCAACTGACTGCTGGGAAAACCACGGTGAGGTCTCTGCTTTTGGGGAAGGAAGGTGGCAGGCCTTAGTCACTGCTCAAATCAGTAATGTTTTGAGAACCTGAGCCTGGGCAGTTTCAAAAGTGGCAGCTGCTGTGTGAGCATGCCCTCTGTGGGTAAAGCAGCTTCCGCTTAGGTCTCTCTTCAGGTCTGGGTGGGTGGGGGGAACAGAGGGGAGCTGTAGATCAGGGGCTGAGAAGAGGGTGCTAGGAACTGAGAAGCCATTGGTGCAGTGGATTAGAGAAGATTCAACACAAGAAGTAGTGAGGGGAGAGCAAGGAGGAGGAGGGAGACAATGCTGGAGTCCTTCTAGGTATCCAATGGGACAGATGGCAAGGAAGGCAGGATGGGGTCTGGCCTAGTCTCTCACGAGAGGCCGACGGTGGCTCCGTTACCCAGCAGACAAGCCCAATCTTAGGGGGCTGAGGAGAATGATGGCTATTCGCAGGTAGGTTCAGGAGCTGGGATGGAAACAGGATTAGGAGTTAGGAACAGGGTCAGGGCTTATGCTAGGGCAGGTCCAAGGCTGGGTGGTAGCCAGGGAGAGCGAGCCAGCAAAACAAAGGGCTTATGTCTGGTTGAAGAGAAGAGATGCCAAGGTGCCAGGTTCTGAAGGGCTGGTTAACAAACTGATTCCAGAAAGTGATGTGAAAAACTGGGGGCTTGACCTGGGGCTATATTCTTTTTTCTGTGTTTGTTTTTGAGGCAGGACAAGGGCTTGCTTTGGGGGTTCTAGAAGAGCCCCCAAGAGGTCACACAGATTCGGGTCAGACAGGAGTCAAAGTCCAGAGATGGGTCTGGAGGCTGGAATTGGCCCTGGCATGGGGTAAAGCAGAGTTCCTAAGAGAGGGATGCCAGAGATCGCGCCATTCAGGAGTTCTCCAAACCCGGACGTACCCCATGAGGTCCAGATCCGGGCTGACCCACGGCCCGGGATGAGCACGCCCTGCTGCCAGCCAGCCAGGGCAGAGCGTGGGGCTGGTCTGCCTGGGCCCAGGAGGCTCAGATGAACCAGCGCAGAGGCTCGGCTGCAAGCATTCCCAGCGGCGGCATGATGCACCGGGGAAGGGATGTGTCAGGGTCCGGGCGGGAGGAGCAGAAACCTGTCCCTATTTCGAAAATATGTCAGTACCCAGTTCGGGGGGTGATGCCCAGCAACTGGGGTACCAAGGGCCAGCCCGGGCGCAGGCCCGTGGTGAAGAATGATGGTGATCAATGCTGGGCAGGGACAGTGTCGGGGAGAGGAGGTGTCTGTCCCTCCTGGGAAGAGTGAGTGCCAGCCGTGTCCAGGATAGGGGCGGAAGCCCCGCTGTCGCCGCTCACCCTACCTTGCCACGGGCGCAGCGCACCGAGCGCAGGGCGCCGAAGAAGATGGGCAACAGCGCCATGAGCAGGAGGCTGCCGTAGGCCAGCGCGATGGGTGTGCTGCCGGCGTCGGCGCTGCCGTTATGCGGGTCGCTGAGGGCCGAGTCCATGGCGAGGCTGCGCTCGAGATCCCGCTCCAGGTCCGGCCGCTGCAGCTGCAGGAAAGCAGATGGGCTCGGCGCTGCGGGGAAAGCCACGTTCCCCTAAAGAAACAGGAAGTGACGTGCCCTCCTCGCCGTCCGGCGCCGCGCACGCGCCCGTACGCGCGCGCGTCCCCGTCTCCCCGCCCGCTCGCCCCCTAGCGGCGGCGGCGGGTCCGGCGCGTTGCTAAGCGACTTCCTAGCGGGGGCGGGGGAGGAAGGGAGGAACGCTAGACCACCGCGGTGGGCGTCGGTTCCGAGAGAGAGATCCCAGCGTCCGGTTCCCCAGTCCCAGTCGGTCTCCTCAATCCCCAGATGCCCCACGTTATACAGACCCTCATCCTCTTAATAGCTAAGCATCTCTTTATTCGTCAATACATCTATCCATTCTAATTGCTCATCTCCTCTATGTATTTCTAATGATTTATTTTATTACTTATTATCATTTTTTAATCTGACCAGAGAGAAAGAGAGAGAGAGAGAGAGAGAGAGAGAGAAAGGGAGAAAGCAAGCTGCCAGATCCGGGACTCGAACCTTAGTTGGACGTGGAGGAATCCTGTGCCTTAACCACTGCACCACCTGCTGGTCCCCAATATATATAATTTCGCTTATTTTATTTATAAGTTTTAAAAGTTTATTATAGAGCACGTGTGCTCGCCAGAGAATGACAGGGACAGAGAGGGGCATAGTGAGAAAGCGAGCCACCAAGGTCAGGATTGGAACTGTGGTGGGCCATGTGGGAGTCCAGTGCCTTAACTACCACGTGGCCCGGTCCTTAAGTATTTATTGGGTGTCCCATTGTATTCCAGGCACTGTCCTAGCCCCTGGGGACACTGAGGTGAACAATCCAGACTCTTATCAAGCTTGCATTTTAGTGCATCTGTGGAAGGTCACAGATTAGATCTTGCACATGAACAACTGTTCATCCACTTTGTCCTCTTACCCTAACATGGCTGTCTTCTGTAAACTTGCTTGCTCTTCCCATGAGAAAATAGCTTGTGCTAGACATACAAAAAGCCTGCATCTGAGACGCCATCCTGTACCTGTTACAGCCTGCTAAGTAGCCCGAAACCCTTTTGTTTAGATGTTCCTTGGCAATGTAACTACCAATCAGCAGACCCCCACCCAGAGCCATAGAGACCAGTAAACAAAGGTCTAGAGAGTGCCCTCAGAAATAATTAACCTGCTTGATTCAGCCTCTGTAACTGCTTGCATGGAAACCCCACTCCCTTTCCTGACATTTTGGACTTCCTGCACCCCTGGTAACTGACCCCCCTCTAAAAGTTTTTGACTGCTCAAACTTCGGTTGGGACTGCAGTTCTGACTCTCCGTCCCTGAGCCTCAGGCTGTAGTCGCAGGCCAGCTCGTAGACTCCCTTTAACCTTAATCTGGTGGTCGTTTGTTCGGTTGCACTCTACAACACGGTGAAGGGAGGTTGTTGGGAAGACAACAGATAAAATAAGTAAAAAGTCTGTAAGATTGTTAGGGTGTAGTTATGTTACACAGCATGTTAATGCAGATAAATTAGAGAGAGAGAAACGGAAAAGAAGGTAGGGCGTGAGGGGTCTGCAAATATATTGAGTGCCTGTGATATGTCAGGCAATAATCCCTCACCAGTTCATAACCCTGTATGGTTTATAAAGTTTTGTGGCTCTTATCACGATTGGAAGAAACTACTTATTTATGTAATTCTTATTTATTTATTTTTTAAAAATTTTAAGGGACCAGCAGATGGTGTAATGGTTATGTTTCTAGACCCCCACATAGTCAACCTCAGTTTGAGTCCTAAACCCAGTGGTTTAAATCTCACACTGGGTATGTGCGCATGCATGGTTCTAGATCCTGAGAGGAGAATGGAGGAGAAGGGATTGTGGCATGGCCATCTCCCATGGGGGTTGATTTCTCGCTGTCTCTCTGTCTGTCTCTATGGTGAGCACATGCACCCTATGGCAAAAAAAATCTCTTTTAAAAAATGAAAAAAAATTTTTTTAAAGAAATTTTTGCTATAGGGTGTATGCGCTCACTGGAGAGACAGACAGTGAGAGACATAAAGTGAGAAATCACCCCCTAGGAGGGATATTCACACCACAATCCCTTCTCCTCTTGGGATTTTGGGCACTCACATGTATCCAGCATAAGTTTCAAACCTCTGGGTCTGAGACTCAAACCATGGTCAACTATGTGGGAGTTCAGCACCTTAACCACTACTACCTGCCGGCTCCTTTGTTTAATTTTTTAAAATAATTATTTTTATTTGACTTTATTTACTTTATAAAATTTGACCATAGAGGGACAGAGAGAGAGAGAGCGAGCGAGAGCGAGAGAGAGCGAGCGAGAGAGAGACAGCGTGCGAGAAGGAAAGTGAGAAAGCAAGCCGCCAGGTCTGGGACTCAAACCGTGGCTGGCCATGTGGGAGTCCAGTGCCCTTAACCACCATGCTACCTGCTGCCCCCCCCCTTTGTTTAAATTTTTTTAAAAAGGCTCTTTCTTTAATGAAGGACACAGAGACAGAGACAGCACAGGGTCTTGTAGCTGTGATCCACCCTCAGCCTCACCCAGCCCAAGATTATAGGCACAGGGTATGCCTGGCATGTTTAGGGAGGTCTCTGGACATGAACCTGAAACCTTTCAGGCTTAGTCCATTATTGCATTGGTAATGGCAATGCTTGAGATTGGGTGGCTTATGCAGAAACGGAGGTTTATTCAGCTTGGAGGTCCAAGGCCCAGGGGCCAGCCTCTAGTGAGGCTATAACATGGTGGAGGCAGGGTGGTCGTCCATGACTTTCTGCCTGTTCTGTTCTCATTTCCTCCCCGACCCCATTTAAAAACAATTTGCTATAGGGTGTATGCACTCTTGGAGGAGAGAGAGGGAGAGAAAGTGAGAAAGCGTTCCCCGTTGCGGGGGCAGGGGGATGCCATGCTGCAATCCCTTCTCCACTCCTCTTGGGATTTTGCACACATGCACATGCGCTAGCTGTGTTTCTCAGGCCACTGGGTCTGGAACTTGAACCGCACAGTCGTCCTCGTGGGATCCAGCAACCTGAACCGTCATGCCACCTGGCTGGCATTCCTTTTGCATCTCTTTTTAAAAATTAATTTTAACATTTTTACTTTACTTAATTTTTACTTATTTAATTTTATTTATTATTACTATTTTGAAAACTTTGACCAGAGAGAGAGAAAATGAGGAAGCAAGCTACTAGGTCTGGAACTTGAACCATGGTCAGCTATGTGGGAGTCCAGTGCCATAACCATTGCCAGCCCCTCCTTTTCCATCTTGTAAACCTATCAGAACTAGATCACAGGGACCCTGACCTAAGGACCTTCTCACACTCAAAGGCTCCACCCTGGGACACCATGAAGGGGTTAGATTTTCATAACACTTTTACGGTACAACCAAGTCCTAATTTCTGGGGAAACCCCACCCTACAAAACTTCCCATGAGAGCAGTCTCAGAGTACTGTTACCCCTGTGCCACCATCTGGTCCCTAATATTGATCTAAAACAGGAAGGTTAATATCTGCGTGTGGAAAAAATACAGAAGTACGAAAGGGCACACACTGATGAGCAGGACTCCCTCCCTTAAGTTCTTAGCCTACCTTCCTGAAGGCAACCGCTCTGTTTTTTGTTTTTGTTTTTGTCATAGGGTGCATGCAATTGCCAGAGAGAGACAGAGAGTGGGAAAGTGAGAAATCATCCTTTCTGGAGGGCGGCAGCCATGCCACAACTCCCTCTTCTCCACTTTCCTCCTGGGACCTTGGGCACACACAGGCTCACAGCATGGTTCTCAAGCTGCCGGGTCCGGGACTCAAACAGTGGTTGGCCATGTGGGAGTCCAGTGCCCCAACCACCATGCCACCTGCTGGCCTTGGCAACCTCTTTCTCTCTCTTTCTCTGTAGAGAACTTTCTTCTTTCTTTCTCTTTCTTTCTTTCTCTCTCTCTTTTTTTAAATTTTTTTTTGAGGGGTTTTTGCTATAGGGCACGTGCACTCGCCAAAAAGACAGAGACAGAAAGCTAGAAATCACTCCCCCCAGGGGGGATGGTCATGCTGCAATCCCTTCTCCATTCTCCTAGCTTTAGATAATTCTTTTCAGAAAGCAGAAGATTTTAAGTTTAGTCAATTACCATTTTTTGGTTTTTATTTTTTTTAAAAATTTTGCCAGAGGGAGTGTGTACTTGCCCAGGAGAGAGAAAGAGAGAGAAAAATTACTCACCCCCACCCCCATGAGGAACGGTCACGCTGCAATTCAATCTCCTCCATTTCTCCCTCCTTTAGGGATTTTGGGCACCCAAGCCCTTGCATTTGGCCTGATTTCCAAGCTGTTGGGTCCAGGACGCTAACAGCGCAGTTGGCCAGTGGGATCTGGGTCATGTAATCACCAGGTCATGGGCTGGCCCCAGTTATCATTCTGTACAGGAAAGTACTGAGCTTATCCCTATAAGGGAAACATGTGGAGAAAAGCCAGCCTCTGCTCTTCAGAAATCTGTAGGCTCAAGAGGGTAATGCTTTTCTCTCCCTCTCTCCCTCTTTCTCATGCACGTGCCCTCTGATCAATTCAAGAAAAAAGGAGACCAAACGGGATTGCATTCACCTCCACCACTTGACTCTGGAATGTTTTTGGTGACTTGCTTGTAACCAACACAACGTGGCCAAGTGATGCTGCATGACCTCAGAGGCAGGAAGGAAAGCCTGTGAGACATGTAAGCTCATGGCTGTATAGCAAGACCAAATGTGGTAAGTGTGCGGTCAGGCAGGGGTGTACAAGAAACGGGAACTCCATCCCTGTGGGGTGACATCTTAGGGAGATGTGTTTGGCAGTTTTAAAGATGGCTGGAAATTTTTTGTTTCAGTTGTTTTTCTTTTCATCAAGAGATGGAATTGGAGCCAGCTAGTGGCCTGGTGGTTAAGGCAGTTGGATTCCGCATGACTGATCGGGCAGTTCAAATCCCAGACCTGGCAGCTTGAAAAACACGCAGGATGTGTGTGCATGCATGACCAAAATTCTGAAAGGAGGGAGAAATGGAAGAGAAGGGATTGCAGTGTGACCGCACTCCATGGGGAGTGCTTTATTACTCTCCCTCCCCTCTAT